TAAATATGTACTTGGAATTGCCTATCTAAATGTATACTGTCTAAATTTCCCCCAGCCGCTGGCCAGCACCATCCTGCCCTCTGCTGCTATGAGTTTGACCCTTTGAAGCACCTCATGGAGTAGAGTCACAGTATTTGTCCTTTTGTGACCGACTTCTGTCACTTAGCATAATGTCCTCAAGGTTCAGCCATGTTGTTGCATGTGACAGGATTTCCTTCTTAAGATTGAAAGGGAGCTAGCTATTATAAAAATAAAAAAAAAATACAACAAAAGGTGATGAGAATGTGAAGAAATTGGAACCCTTTACAGTGTTGGGAATGCAAAATGATGCCACCACGGTGGAAAACAGTACTCAGCTTCCTCAACCAAATTAAAAACAGAACAATCTTAGGACCCAGGCTTCTCACGTCTGGGTCTTTATCCAGAAGAATTAAAGTCAGGCTCTTGGAGAGAGATCTGCACAGTCGTGTTTACTATAGCATATTCGCAAAGGCCAAGATGTAGATGCAGCTAAATGTCCCAGGGCGGATGAATGGACGAAGAAAATGCATGAGGTCCTCGACAACTGTCAACCGTAGAAACGCGGGAAGCAGATACACTTAAAAATACAACAGTGGCGATGACCACCACTTCCATTTGGCCCAGGATTGTGAATGTGTGAGTCTGCGACTGTGATGTGAGTGAGTGAGAAGCATGAACTGAAGGCTTTACACGGCCAACAGACCGATGATTAGTTCAGTGCCGACGTGCTTTCTCCAAGTGGAATATTCCATTTTGCCTCATTGATCGTATGAAGATAGAGGACTTCAAACTATATGACACGTATCGAGGGATGGTGGTATTTTAATGGCACATTTTTCCAATGAATATATTTTTATAAATTATTCTTTGAATTCTCTGTGAATTTTATCACCTTGGACATACTTTAAAAAGCGTTTCCTGTGTCTTGGTAAAAAAAAAAAAAAAAAAACCGCAGTAAATCTGATGCCTTGGCTTTGTTGATCGGATTTAAGTGTTAGGAAAAGGTCAAAACATGATGTGTATGTTTTAGCTCCTTCTTTCAGCAGACTTTCAAGTTACGCCACATAACGGGTGTCAGATACGTCCAATTAATTCAGGAGATGCTTGCTTCTCACGCTCGTCTGTAAAAGTCGGGGTCGAAGACATTCCGTGAATGCAAAGCACCAGCTCTCTGAAAATCCAAGGGACTTTCCACAGCAAGGTTTGAAAGGAGCGTTGTCTCGTGTGTCTAGTGAAGGTGACAAGTGCTGTAGGCAAATGGGGTGAAAACACAGAACTTCAGATAACTCAGGAAGAGGCGTCGTGCGTGCCATTTTATCAGACACGGGAAGCGCTTTGGGATAGTGAGCTGAGAGAGGGGGTGTCAGGCCAACCCCTGGAGCTGTGTCAGGGAGCCCTGGGTACACTGTCCCATCAGGAACAGGGATAAAGCCTCTGCAGCAGCACATCCCTGACGGTGGCTCTGATGGTGATGTGGGAAACAGTCCCAGGGACCGACTGTGACCCAGTAGGCTGGACCACGGGATGCGGTGTGCTGACTCATACAGCACACGGTTTCGTGGCTTCATCTAGGTAATCGTCACTGCACGTCTATCAGGTGTTCCCAATGTCCGATCACAGACAAGCAAATCGATGCAGGTACAGGAAATAAATGGGCTGCGTCTTGCTTAGATTTCTCGAGTGAACCCTCAGCTGAGAAAGAAGTAAGTGGATAGATTTGTCCATATCTTCACGTATGACTGCACGTGTCGTCTGCTGCCCAGCCTCGGGGGTGACAGGAAAACACCGCAATGGGAAGAGGAGGTATGTAGCAGTGTTGGTCACATTAGGACACTGTATAAAGAGATGGATCTACGTCACAGATGATATTGATTTGCCCAGCAAGGAACACGGGATGAGGCTGTGTGAAGGAAACTCATGCATTGAATCCATGAGCTACCATATAGACTGGAGACATTTCCAGAGACAAAGAAGTCATCTGAGTGTGCTGGTTGTTAAGGGTTCAAATTTATAGTTGATTTACTGCATTCGAACAAAAGGCCCTCGGTTTTGTGTTTATCTGCTTGTTTACTGATAGTCAGCCATCGCCAAGGTGTTTGCTCGTGGTTTCCAGCTGGTTCCACCATCCGAGGCACGTAGCCAGATTGTGCTCTTGCCTTCTCGTGAGCCTTGAGGAGAAATGTCACATTATTACTTCAAAGCTAGGGCCTCCGAGTATAAAGTATAAAAATCCCTCGGCATTTTATCCACATCCCAGACAAAGACCGCTCCCCAAGGCTGGACTCAGAGGGCAGGTGACAACCAACAGAGCCCAGATGACTCAGGATGAATGCTCAGGGCGAACAAGAAATAAATCTTCGTTACCTAAGCGACTGAGATGTGGATACTGTCGCTGTACCATAAACACGCGCATCTTGAGTGACTCATGTCACCAACCTGTTTCTGCAAAGGAATCACGATTAGATTTTGAAAAATACCTCATCGCTGATTTTTCACCCTTAGAGAAGTCGCACTAAGGAATGACACGACATTTTGGACCCTGGAAGAGTTGAGGTCGGAGGATTAAATAACTCGAAACTTGTTTACAGATTATGTGAAGGCATATTTATGTGTAGAATGATTGTCTAACCCGCACAAACAAAAAATGAAGGACTCACATACCTCTAGAGGTGAAATGAGCTTTGAAAAAGCATGGGCCTCGATGTAACTTAACTTAGATCGCCATTATGTTTCGGGGCATTTGAAAATCAGGTTTCTTGGCAATAACCATTCACCATCTGAAAGTGTCGCCTAGGATGTACGACAGGAAAACAGAACCCTTTTGTCCAGGGGAGACCTGATCGTCTCGAAGACCTGGCTTATTAACACAGTTGTACCTGGCTCCCTGCTCTGAAAGCATCGATCGATCGCTATATCCACTTGAACGACACATCCTGACGTCAGTGGGTTCAGAAGCTTTTATGTACATTCTTTAAAAAACACACCCAGGAAAACAACAACAATAGCAACAAAGAAACCCCTTTGTATTCCTAGTATTTCAAAGATGTTACAAGCCAAACAAAGGGTATCATTTTACAAGGTCAGAAACACTGCGTGAAAAACAGTGTCAGCCCGCACATCAGGGTACTTAAGGATTCAGGGAAGGAAGGACACTTGAGATGGCCCTTGCAGGGAGGCACAGGGAGCAGAGGGGGAAAGGCACGGGGGAAATATTTGGTCGGTGTTGGAAGGACTGTCGCCTGGAACATGAGTGCATCTGGTCGAGGGTTCTTAAAAGCTTGTTCGCATGTTCTTGAGAAGTCAAAATAAAATTTTCCCTGGCGATGAAGGAAATCATGCTGTCGTCTCCTGTTTTCTCTCGTGGCTTAATTCAGCCGGTGCGGGCTGCGTTTCCTCCAGCAGCAGTGGTTTCTGAGTCCCTAAGGCTCGGGGAGGGGCCCAGAGGGGCAGATAAGGAGTAAATGAGCCCCCGACCTCCGCGATTAGAGGGCCAGGGAGGACAAGTTACCATCGCACTCACTGCCTGCACCCTTCGGGGGGACTCACCAAAAAGGTCTTATTTTTGTTTTAAATTTTACTCATGTCCCTCCACTTTTAGTAATCATCGGCTCCTTCTTTATAGCTATGGGTCTGTTTCTGTTTTGTTTATTTACTATTTATTTTTAAGTGATGTTGGTTTTATTTATATCTTCTATTATTTTTTTTTTTTTAAGTTCCACATATAAGTGAGATCAGACGGTATTGGTCTTTCTCTGACTTATTGCACTCAGCATAATACCCTCTAGGTCCATCCACGTGGTCACAAATGACACTATTTCATTCTTTTTTATTGTGAAGTAATATCCATATATTACTTCATATACTCCACCTCTTAGATATATATATATATATATATCTAAGAGGTGGAGTATATATATATATATATATATCTAAGAGGTGGAGTATATATATATATATATATATCTAAGAGGTGGAGTATATATATATATATATCTAAGAGGTGGAGTATATATATATAT